GCGTTGGTGCTCTAGTGTTGGTAATCTGCTCCCAAAGGCTTTTGGTCAGGTACAGAATAACGCCACGCTGCATCTGGTGTTTAACCAGCCTTTAATTATATCTTTTCCACTCAGGAACTCTTCTATGCAGCATTTAATCTTACGTCATGCGCGCTGCGTGTCACCTCTGTGTGCAATACTCTCTTCCACCACTAGATGTCACTGACACGACAGAATTTTAATTATTTTCTCAGTATTGACCATTGCTTGGCATTAAATATGAACAAATTAAACCCTTTTTTCCTGTGACAGCTACAGCAATTTTAATGTTAGCAAATCTTTTTTTTTTCATTCAGCACTTAGCAGTAATACTGTGTTTAGTCAGAAAATGCTAATTTTCTGGTCTAGATTGTCAGACAGCCAGGCCAAAATCAGAGTCAATGTCAGACCAACATTTTTCAGTCAGGTCATCTGGACAGTTTCTTTTTTTGTGCTGAAACGTTTCGCCTTCGATCCGGAAGGCTTCATCAGTCAAGGAAACACACAACAAAACTGATTCTTCCCCCAACAGCTTACTCCAAAGTAGGGAATTATTCACTTTGGAACACTTTCCCCAACCACATTTTTAATCAGGTAGGTCGACTCCAATTCTTATTAAAATGTGATTATACAATTGAAAAGTTATCTATAAAGTTGTCAAAATTTCACCAACAGGCTCTCTTGGCTTGGAAACTTGCCTACAAACACAACTTCTCTCCAACTATGTGCTACACATGGAGCAATGAGAATATTCTGTATAAGAATAAGTCACTTTACTACAAAAACTGGATGGATAATGGAATTATTCTTGTCCAACAGCTGTTAAATGATAACAACCATTTTGTCATACACTGAATTTCTGACCAGATTTAACACACCTGTAACACCTAAAGAGTATGCTGTAGTTTTTGATGCTCTACCAAACTCCATGATGCAACTCTTCAAAGGAACAAAACCTTATCGTTCATCTAGAGACCAGCTTAGAAGCCTCATATTGCTAGGTGAAAAGGATATCACTAAAAACATGTTCCAACAAACTTACACGATCATGTCTGCAGAAGATTACTTTACTTCCTGGTAGATTTTTTTGGTCCTCTACTTTTGGAGAAATTAATTGGAAACAAGTTTGGTTAAATTTTGCATAACAAATAAAGTTAAAGAGGTTTTAAAGATGTATATACCCTGTTAAAAAAAACACTGGAAAGATTTAAACTTGATATTGACTATTCTTGTACGTTTTGTGAACTACACATGGAAACAATTTCTCATTTATTCTATCAATGTAATCACACAAAGACATTCTGGACAGATGTGCAACAACTCATACAACAGAAAACTGGACAAGTAATTCAACTTACAGAGAAAGACATTATATTATGCTTCGACAATAAGGATATGGACAAAGACTTGATCTACTTCACCCAACTTCTACTTCTCCTGGGAAAATTCCACATTCACAAGAAAAAGTGGTCAAACTCCAAGTCAAGCATTCACCACTTCAGCAAGGAGCTCTACATATACAGCACCGCTGTTAAAGGACTGGAAAACAAAAAGCCAATGAAAACCATATCAGTTCTGGAAAAACTTAATGTGAATTCATTTGTATAACATAAATAGATTGTGTTGTATCTTTAGAATTTTTTTTTACCCTTTGTACCATTTTATAAACAAATTGTTCTTTCTATACTTTTGTAGCTGCTAAAATACCCCTGGCAGACAGTTGTTTGTAAAATTGATAAAGTTTTGTAATAAAAAAAAAAAAAGCTTACTCCAAAGTGGAGCAAACCAGTTTTGCTTGTGATAAGATGGTCTCTTTGGTACGCCCCCTCCTCCATTGCCGGCCCTCTTCCTTGTTGACAGAGTCAGAGTTTCTTTATTGTCATTCGCACCTCATGTGGTACATGTGGTGGAGCAAAATTATGTACACAGGGTCCCAGTTACATCCAACAATAAAATGTAAACGAAAAACAGTAATAACATCTAAGATATGAACTAAGAAAAACATAAACTAAATATAGACTAAGCACTAATAACATAAAAACATCACGTCGAACATCAGCACAAACCTGAACACGAGTCCGTGTAAGTAGATAAGCACGCAAGAACACACCAACATTGAAACAGATCAGCAGCGACATTGAAACAGATCAGCAGCAACATTGAAATAGATCAGCAGCAACATGAAACAGATCAGCAGCAACATGATGTGATTTTTTCACAGTGATTATTCTGGTTAGAGATTCATGAGTCTAACAGCCTCAGGGTAGAAGCTGTTCCTCAGTCTAGTGGTTCTACACTTAATGCTCCTCAACCTCCTTCCTGATGGGAGTGGGGCAAAAAGTGTGTGTGCTGGGTGAGTGGGGTTCTTCATGATGCAGGTGGCTCTCGTCCTGCATCTGGAGGTGTAGATGTCTGTGATGGTGGGGAGGCTGACTCCAACAGTCTTCTGTGCAGCCTTCACCACTCTCTGCAAAGCTTTTCTTTCTGCAGCTGTGCAGCCTCCATGCCACACGTTGATGCTGGAGCACAGGATGCTCTCCACTGCACACCTGTAGAAGGAGGTGAGGACTGAGCTTCCCAGACCAGCTCGTCTCAGCCGCCTGAGGAAGTAGAGTCTCTGATGAGCTTTCTTGATCAGGCTGGTGGTGTTGTTGCTCCAGCTGAGGTTGTCATTCATGTGTACACCCAAGTACTTGTAGCTGGAGACCACTTCCACCACATATCCTCTTATGTTCAGGGGGGTGTAGGTGTGTTTGTTCCTTCTGAAGTCCACAATCATCTCCTTTGTCTTCTTCACATTGATGTGAAGGTTATTCTCTTTGCACCAGCTCTCCAGGTGTTCCACCTCCTGCCTGTAGCTGGACTCATCATTGTTTGTGATGCATCCCATCACCGCTGTATCATCTGCAAACTTTACAATGTGACAGCCTGGATGGGTAGCTGCACAATCATACGTGAGCAGAGAAAACAAGAGGGGGCTCAACACACATCCCTGAGGAGAGCCAGTGCTGAGGGTTATGGTGGAGGAGGAGAAGTTGTGGATCCTCACTAACTGTGGTCTGTTTGTTAAGAAGTCTAGTGCCCAGTTGCAAATGGAGGGGCTTAGTCTAGTGTGAATAGTGTGACCATCAGGGTTTGGGGGATCATGGTGTTGAAAGCGGATGTGAAGTCCACAAAGAGCAGACGGATGAAAGAGTTTTTCTGCTCCAGGTGGTTGAGCGCAGTGTGGACCACAGAGGAGATGGCATCCTCTGTTGATCGGTCCTCACGGTATGCGTACTGATGAGGGTCCTCGTTGATGTTGATGGTTGTTTTAATGCGAGTCATGACCAGTTTTTCAAAGCATTTAGCGACTATCGGGGTGAGGGCCACTGGCCGATAGTCATTCAGACCAGTCACTGTAGAGCTTTTTGGGACTGGGACGATGGTGGCAGTCTTCAGGCAGGTGGGAACTGTCTCCAGGGTAAGTAAGGTGTTAAAGATGTCTTCTAGCACCTTGCAGTGCTGATCTGCACATTCTTTCAACACTTTTCCGGGGATGTTGTCTGGGCCGGTTGCTTTGTGCAGATTAATCCTCTTGAAAGTACTCCTTACTTTGGTTGAGGTCACGCTGAGATGCTCTTCATCTGGTGGTGAGGTGAGTCTGGTGCTGGGTGGTCTGTTCGGGTCTTCAAAGCGTGCATATAACTTGTTGAGAGCATCAGGCAGAGATGGGTCTTTGGGGCATTGTTCACTCCTTCCTTTATAATCTGTTATGCACTTAATGCCCCTCCACATGCTCCGAGGGTCTTGCGAGGTGAATTGACCCTCAATCCTCTGTGCATATGTGGCCTTGGCCTTCTTAATACCAGCAACCAGCTCTTTCCTTGTCCTACTCAGCTCCTCTGAGTTTCCAGACCTGAAGGCAGTGTTCCTGGCTTCCAGCAGGATGTGCACCTCTGCATTCAGCCAAGGTTTTCTGTTTGGGTAGCTTTTAACATTTCTGATAGTGGAGACGGTGTCAGTACATGTACTAATGTTACCCAGAACTGAGGATGTGTATTGGTCCAGATCAAGCGAGTCTCCATGTTCAGCAGCAAAAATCAAGACAAGCTGGCGTTTATTCTGAGTTTGAAGAAGATTCTCTTTCTCAACTCAAATTATTTTATTTAACTGAGAAAGTGATCTGGATATGGAGGTACTCCATCGCTCTTATATAGGTAATTAATAGCTAATGTCAAGCTAAAGTAGCAGCATGGCATCTAAAAACTAAAGATAGTGATAGTTTTTAAAAAGTTTTTAGCATACAAAGACAAAAAAATTGCTGAAGCTGATTTAATTTATGTTTTTTGATTAAAAGGTCTCTTGTAAATGAGTCCTTTCGTAACTCAATGCAACTAAGCTGCATAAATAAAGGTTAAATGAATTAATGAAAAAGAATAATGGAGATTTGGAAGGAATTGACAAAATGTAAATTAATTTCTAAGGGGGACATTTTGGTAAATAAAGTTAAATATTTTGAAAGTCATATCAGTTTCCTAAATGAGATGAACATGTTTACATTTCTTTCTGATGGCTTATCACTCCTACAGTGCATTTAGATTTACCTAATTACCATAATTTGTTTTGCTTGAGAAGTTATTTATTCCTTGCGGAACATAAGTACTTCTGGATGTAAATTACCAATTTCAACAATAAGTTTTTAATATCAAAATGATTTTACCCAACTCTGCCGAAACCCGGGATCGAACCAGGGACCTTTAGATCTTCAGTCTAACGCTCTCCCAACTGAGCTATTTCGGCTTGCATATTTCACACGTGCATTACAATCAACTTTTTTCCTAATACAACACTAAGGAATTATGATATGCATGACATAGCAGTACATTTCATATGATTAAACTTAAGTAAAGTTCTGACAGTATGTGTTGTGTTTTAGTTAAGCGGTCTACAGGTTTAAGAGCACGTTTCAGCGTGCGTAATGATGTCATCACGCCAGAGCGAATGTAGCGTCATCCTTTCTGATGTAGAGCTACACGGCGGCCTTTCATTGCTGCTCTGTTTCTTGCTAACATACCGCTCTCGCCCCAGTATTTCAGCTTTTATTTCCAGTCAGCTATGACACGAAGGTCGCCGCTTCTCACCGTGTGCCTGCTGCTTGTGGCTGCCCTCAGCTTGGAGGTTTCAGCCGACGGTTTAGTGAACGAAGATGTAAAGAGGACATTAGACCTGAGCACTCATTTGGCCAAGATCACAACGGAGATCGTGTTGTCCAACCAGGGACAGTCCTCTGTCCATAGTTTCATATTAGCGGTGGAAGCTGACCTGGCACCGCACCTGGCTTATATCGGAGCTTCGGTGAGTCTGACAGAAATGCTGCTAACGCTGCCTCAACTAGTCACCTAGCTAGCGTTAGCATGCAAGCTACTAGTAAAAAGCTAAAGAAAATACAAATTCTAATGCTCCGTGTTTGTGTATAGACTTGCACAACTCCCATTCGTTTCTTTGTTTTGTAAAGTTTCAGCTCCAGGGGTGTGAAGGCTAAAAGCGTGGTTCAATAAATTCATTAAAAGCATGGTTGAAAGCATTGCTACTATTAGCTCAAATGAATGATTCAGTTTTCCATCCATGAGTCCTGCAAGCTCAGAAGATAACCAGTGGTGGAAACTTCGAATTTGTGTATTTATGAATGCATGACATTCGCACCAGCGCTCAGCATGTGCTTATGAATTTAACCCGGGTTAAATCAGTGGACTTTGCTGGAAAAGTGCGAGGATCCAGACGGTAACTTCCGCGGGGCTCCACGCTCCGTCAGTGGCTGAATGACACGTATGCGCTGGGCGGGCGGCTCATTTCCGCGTGTGACTGTGCACAGATCTGCCCCTTTCTGCTGGAAAGACTGTGTCCATGTTTACAGTCTGAACCAGGGGTGCCCACACATTTTCCCTGAGAGGGCCACATTTAAAATCTATCAGAGGGCTGCAGGCCAAATGCAATAAAACATGAAATGCAAATACTTCTTTAAAGTCAATTTATTTATTATACAGTTATTTAACCTTCAATTCTGTATAAAGAACATTACAGAACAGGCTGTGTTGGTGGTGTGTGGGTGGGGGAATACGGGGGTCGTCCCCCAGAATTTTGAATAAAATAGATGCCATTTCCTTAATTTTGGTGCATTTTACAAAGGTTTATTACAGTATAGATTACCATGAAACAAAAGATGCAAACTCGTTATTGAAATCTCTGACTGCAAAGCTGCAGCTCTGCAGGTAAGGGGTGTTCACTTCAGGACAAATTAAGGTTGCTGATCGGTCAGTTGCTGACGTGCTGGATTGATTGACGGGTGGTATGACTGCAAAAAAAAAATCATAGATTTTACTGGCCCCTTTGAGACTGTTGTCATTTATTCCATATTCAATATTTTGGTGAATCTAAGGTTTGAGAACTGTTTCCTTACAAAATCCTAATGATGTTTTATTTTTCAGAGGTGCTGAGTTTAAATTTAGGGGTGCTTGAGCACCCCCAAAAAGAGGCTTAAATCACTACTGAAGCCAGTTCATATTTATCATTTAGGCTATTTTTAAACACTTTATGTGTGATTTATAAGTGTATTAGTGCAGGATCAAAGGAAAATGTTTTTCAGTGGCAGGAAGCTGTAGGAGGTCTGTCAAAATAAAATTTGTAAAATTAAATAATTGAATGCACAAAATAGCCACTCCAGCTGTGTAGTGCCATTAAGGTAGTCATTGGGCTGACTTTCCATTTAACATCGACATTAAAGTCAGATTGATTTGAGTGTAAACACATTGATTCTTCAAAGGAGATTTTAGTATAGTAATGAGGACAGTTTGGCGGGCAAACTTTGACCCGAGGGCCCCACTTTGGGCACCTCTGGCTTAAACACTGAATATCACGGTGCACTAATGTTCAAACTGTCCTGTTTGTACAGGTGAAGGGTGATGAAGAGGAGGATGGCACACTTGAGCTCCAGCAGACAACCATTAAGGGTCAAAGGTATGACTTCAGCATCCTAATAATTATAATGTATATTTGTTCATGGTTTGGTGGGGGAAATGGACTACTTCCAGTCTTTTCAAGTATAGTTTTGCACACGTTCTTTTTAAATGACAATGATCATGTAAAATACAAATTTTAACTGCTTTCAAAAATTTCTGTTTGCAAGTTTTATTGATGCACATCACCAGGTTTTGCTGTAGACTCCTCTTTGCTGATTAATGAAGCCAAAATTTGCACTTTTTACCCCTCACACACATCAGTTTCATCCATCCATTATCTTTTAACCACTTCTTCCGTTTGGGGTCACGGGGGTCACAGGTGCCCATGTCCAGCAGTCACTGTGCGAGGGGCGGGGTACACCCTGGACAGGTCTCCAGTCCATCACAGGGACACATAGAGACAAACGAGACAAACATTCACTCTCTCACCTAGGGACAATTTAGAGTTACCAATCAGCCTAACATGCATGTTTTTGGTCTGTGGGAGGAAACCGGAGTACCCGGAGAAAACCCACGCATGCACGGAGAGAACATGCAAACTCCACCCAGAAAGGCCCCCGGACCGGGATTTGAACCGGCAACCTTCTCGCTGAGAGGCAGCAGCTCTACCAGTTGCACCACATCAGTTTCTTCAAACAAATTAGAAATGCTGATGCTGGCATTTGTTATTATGGCCTAAGACAGACATCATATACAAGAATTAAAAAAATGCACAGATGAATTGCATGAACTTATTTGTAAAACATTTAACAGTAATTTTTAATATAAATTTGATAAATGACTTGTGGTACCATTTCATTTGTTTCAACATTTATTTATTTTTTAGTGAAATCACTAGTACAGTCATACTGCTGCGCTCCTCCTCTTAGCCTGTTCTTCCTCTCAGTGGAAAATCAAAGGAGGCACAAGTGTCAACATCTAAGGAGGGCAACTGAGAAAAACACGAGGAGGAAGTAATTTAAAATAGGAACGCCTCTCAGTTGTCCTCAACTCAGTTCCCATCGTTCACTTTAAAGAGCCGTTCAAAAGATATGGATCGTTCACAACCATCTCATTTCTAATTTTTAATAAAAATTGGTCACTACAAATACAGTGTTAGCTTTTTCTGGTATTCCATACAGAACTGTTATTTCATCTGAAATCTTGGATACTAGTCATCTTGCTGTCTGAATAGTCCATTTTAAAATCTTGTACTTTTCTCGTAATAGTAATTGGATACAAAAAAGCTCAAATTATTTCAACGTTTATTAGACAAAATGTAACTGTGTCCAGTTTCTTGCTTCAGAAATGTAAAATCTTCCAGCATAGATTACTTTTAGACCAGTGGATTAACTGGAAAATCTGTAGATTTGATCAGAAAATGATGCTGGGAGACTTGTTTGATTAAAAAATGAATCTATAACCAATGTTTCGGCCTTTGGAAATGATGCAGACTAAGTTTCCTTTAGAAAAATGCTCATATTTATTTCATATATTTTCCTTAATGTCTTGTAACAGCGGGGAGTTTTACAAAGTGCAGCTGGCCTCCAGTCTGCCTCCAGGTGCTCAGCTGAAAGCGAAGGTGGATATGACATTTAGCCACGTCCTGAAGCCTTTCCCCACGCACATCACCCAGGCTGAGCGTCAGCTGGTGGTTTTCCAGGGAAACCACTATTGGTACTCCCCGTATCCCACCCGCAGCCAGACCACACGTGTCCGCCTGGCCTCCAAGACTGTGGAGAGCTACACCAAGCTGGGCAACCCCAGCAAGACTGATGAGATTATTGAGTATGGACCTTTCCGAGACATATCTCCTTTCAGCGAGGTAGAGCCCAGCTATGATTCGATGAGCTTTAAGTCAAGCTGCATAAATGTCGACTAACAAATTTTCTTATATTTTTTCAACTCATCAGGATACAATGAAGATCCATTATGAAAACAACACCCCCTTCCTCACTATAACCAGCATCACTCGCACCATTGAGGTGTCCCACTGGGGAAACATTGCTGTTGAAGAAACTGTTGACCTGAGGCACACAGGAGCTGTTCTGAAGGGACCCTTCTCTCGTTATGATTACCAGCGTCAGTCAGACAGTGGCATCTCATCTGTCAAGTCCTTCAAGGTTTCATATTTTTCAGGTCAACACGCTCATCTTCTCTGGGGTGGTGTTTTTTCTCATGACTGCGTCTTTTCTCGCCTGCAGACCATCCTTCCTGCCTCAGCTCAAGACGTTTATTACAGGGATGAGATCGGCAACATCTCCACCTCCCACCTGCAGGTTCTGGATGACTCCGTGGAGGTGGAAGTCAGACCACGTTTCCCCTTGTTCGGAGGCTGGAAAACCCACTACATCATCGGCTACAATCTGCCAAGCTATGAATACCTGTACACTCTGGGTGAGTTCTGACGATTCGAGGAGAAACTGACGATTAATATTTTAGATATGAACAAAATCCAAGACGGTTTTTATAAAATGCACTTGTAAAAAGGATCCGATTACAGTACCTCTGCAGATTCTCTAATGGAGAAGCAGTTAGCAACTCCTGAATGGGATTAAAAACAAGTTGATTGCATTGAAGTTGGAAAATGTTTTTTTATTTTTATTTCACTAGATTTTTGTACCTCTGTAGACATTTTCCTATAAGCTAATCATCCTAACCTCTAGTTTTAATTGTTTTTAAGACACATTTCTAATCATCAGCTGTGAGAAAATAGCATTTGCTAACACATTGCATCTTTTGTTTACCCTAGGTGACCAGTATGCACTGAAAATGAGATTAGTTGACCACGTGTATGATGACCAGGTTATTGACGACATGACTATGAAAATCATTCTGCCAGAAGGAGCCAAGTAGGTGTTCAATAGAGAACTTTCACTGTGCTGAGTTGAGTTGAAAATGATCTGTTGTTAATTTCTCCTATTTTCCTGCTTTGTTTGATTAGAAACATCCATGTGGATACACCTTACAAAATTGATCGCAGGCCAAACCAGTTGCACTACACCTACCTGGACACATTTGGCCGACCAGTGTTGGTGGCTACAAAAAGCAACCTGGTGGAGCAACACATTCAGGATTTTGTGGTAAGAGAAGCTTTAGAAAGCTGCAAATTTAAGTATCTTGTGTTTTTAGAACAGTGCAATGTTTGAATAATGTGAATAAAAATTGTATTTTGTATCGTTGCTTTAACACGTCGTGATACGTTCAACCTGAATAAAAAGCAGAGCTCTAGATGGAAGCTGAATCTGTTTTTAGAAGCATTTTGTTTAGGTTCTGTGAATTTGATAATTTTTATATACATTATGTTAAAGGAAAAAAAAAAAACAGAATTTCCCTACTGAGGGACAATAAAGGTTATTTGTATTCTATAAAGTCAATAAGCCATATAAGTGTGCAGTAATTTATACTTTAAGCTTCAAAATATCGATTTGATTTATCATCACATGTAAAATAAATGAAGTGCCTGACATCAAATTTTTGTAATAAATATGAACGCGTTGATGGAAAGATGACGTATTTCACAAAAAAATTCTGTCTGTTCAGATGAACTGTTGAGAGATTCTCGTGCGCAGTAACAGGAAGTGATGACAAAAGGGAATGACTGCATGAAAACACAGCGTTGCTACAACGGCTAACTACACAGACAGTGGAGGACAATCTGACGTTTAGATTATTCTGAGTCGCTTTCAGAGAGAGATGAAGACGAATCAGAGTTCAAATAATGTTTCAATAATCTTGAGACCAGGAAGTTCCACTTTTTAAAGAGATGCCCTATGAGGTCACTTCCTGTTTCACTTTGACTGTGCCAGTTATGTGACAAAATGGGTAAAATCATGTGTATTATGCCAAATTTCCTCAATATTAAGATGTTTTCTACCACCTTTTGTATTAGTAGGATATGCTTGTCACAGGCTCTTTAAAGTAGCCATCACAGACAGTATTTTATGGTGAAGTTGATCTGATTCAATTCAGTTTATTTAACGCCAATTCACAACAGAAGTCATCTCAGGGCACTGAACACAAAACACCTCTCACCTTGTTTACACAGACTTTTTTTCTTCCCCGTTACCTACAACAAATGTTAATAATGATTCAGAAACTTGCTCATGCACATATCTTGATATTTTTCCCCATTTCCAGGTTCATTATACCTTTAATAAGATCCTGATGCTGCAGGAGCCTCTCTTGGTTGTTGGAGCCTTCTACATCCTCTTCTTCACTGTGATCATCTACGTACGTCTGGACTTCGCCATCACAAAGGTGCGCAACACAAAAACAACTTCATGTTTGCCTTTTTTTCTTTAGTTTTACTGCTGGACTTGGAGACTGCATGTGGGCGTTTAGTGTTGGTGGAATTCATGGCCATTTTTCTCGTCTTTGTTCAGGATCCTGCAGCCGAGGTGAGGATGAAGGTGGCCTCCATCACTGAGCAGGTGCTCACTCTGGTTAACAGGCGTCTGGGTCTGTACCGACACATGGACGAGGTGGTCAACCGCTACAAACAGTCCCGCGACATGGGAGCGCTCAACAGCGGTCGAAAGACTCTGGAGGCCGACCACCGCCAGCTCACCAACGAGATCACCTCGCTGCAGGCCCGCCTCAAGACCGAGGGCTCTGACCTGGCTGAGAAGGTGAGAGGCTTATTCGTTGCACGTGTTCCGGTTGTGAGCAGCCGAGCTGACCCCCCCCCCCCCCCCTCCCTCTTCAGGTTGTAGAGGTGCAGAAGCTGGACAGCCAGCTGAAGGAGCTGGTGTGTCGCTCCTGCTCGGAGGCGGAGCGTCTGGTGGCGGGTAAAGTCAAGAAGGAGTCTTACATCGAGAGCGAGAAGAACCTGACGAGCAAGAGACAGGAGCTCATCAGCCGCATCGACAGCCTTCTGGATGCCCTCTAAACTTCAGAAACACACAGGCGCCCCTCCTTCAACATACACCAACAGTCGAATAAAATGTGACACGGTTTACACGTTTTCTTTTCTTACCACCTTTGCATCCAGACATGAACTGTTAACATCTCATCTTAGGTTAGTGATGGGTTTATCTGGACACGTGCCTTTGTGCCTGCTGATAAACTGTGGTCACTGCGTGCTCGGCTCCAAAGCAGCCACATCACAGCTTGTTGCTTTTTTAGTTTCTGCTTTTGTTTGAGCTAGCTTTGCTGCACCGGGCTCAGATTTGTTGCTTTGTTTTTTGTTCAGATCTGGATTTTATTTTTTACCATTAGGAATGTGTGGTTAGGGTTCTGATTTGGAAATGAATAGTTGAAGGGCCAAAGTGTTCCCAGTCTCATGTCTTTCCTCATACTGTATTCTAAAACAAAACATTTCTGACTTTAAGTGTGAAAAAGATGGTATTTTCTAATCTTTTCTCCTTTTGTTGACTTTTTTAATTCCACTTGCCCTGGACTGTCCTACATTTGAGGCTCTGATTTTGTCATTTTCAGCTTTTGTTTTAGATGGACTGTCATGTTTTCAACATTTTGTATAATTTTCTTTGTTTTGGGATTGTGAGATTAAAAAAATAAGAGATTAGACTGTATGAGAGAAAAGGCATGAATGATGCAAAACAGATATTTGTCAAATAAGACAATGATGTGGATTACTGTCAAATTTGGAATAAAGTTTTGAGAAACTCCTCTTTGAGCCTTTTTCTGGATTTAGACTTCGCTCTTCGAGGTTGTGTTACAGTTGGTTCACCACAAGAGGGTACCCTTGCATAACATCTATATGCAGATCTGTTTAAACAAAAAGTGAATATTTAAAAGTTCACTTATTTAACTTCTGGCATGCAAATTTATAAATTACGTCATACAGACTTGCTGAATTAAAATCCAATTTTTCACTGAGGCTAGTTCCTCCCTGAAGTTGCCCTTCAGAGGGAATTTCCTGCACATTGTTGCGTTCGTTGTTTCAGTGCAACTCCACCTTTCAGCCCGTCTCCTCCTCGGCCATCAGAACTGCAGTCCTGCCTCCATTAAAGTCTGGGCTCAGGACAAACATGAGGGTCAGTCTGAGGTCATCTCTTTCCCTGCGAGGTCATCAGGGGTCCCGGCATGTCATTTCCTGCTCCATAGTAACAGTCTGGCTCCTCTCACAATGATGCTGTTCACACATTGTATGCCCTGTACAATAATGATTCTGAAAATACACGGCAGCGAGAAACTGAAGACAATGTCCGTCAGCGCTGATGCTTGGGCCTGGTGAAAGGGCACACAATGGCTTTTTTGTTGTTGTTTGTTTATATGTTTGTGCATAAGTGGAGAAATTTCAGAGAGCCCCAGAGTCTCATTCTCACAGCGCGGAGGCAACTACCTCAACACTGGTGTCAGCTGAGTCAAATGTTGAGCTGCTCTCAGATCTGCGATCAGTGCGAGCTCAGTGAAAACTGAGTGGAAAGTAAAGTCAAACCCAAAAGTTGTTTTAAGATATTGACAGCTCTTCAACTCTGGGTCTTTACACCTTAGAGATTTGAACAGATTTCTGGAGAAAACCTTTGTATATATACAGCATGGGCAGACCAATAAGTGGGGCCCCAGCTTGTTGGGCAAATGTATATCCATGAGAGAGTGTTAAAAATTTAGTAAAATAAACATAAATACATGTAACAGAGCCAAGTAACAATTTTTTTTGATAAAAAAAAAACAATTGTTTTTAAAGCACAGTGAGGCATTAATGAATGATGGAGCCTAAAGAAAGATCACAGAGACATTCAAAATGAAACAAAGATGATACAAACGATGGCAAAATGTTGTAAAAACATTAATGTGTCAAATCCATTACAGAGAAATCAAGTGACGTTGTCATGATTTCCTCATTTTCAACATGAACATGTGAACATGCATGTGAAAACGTGCTTTTCCACATGTGAAGTGGATTTCTTTATATTCCAAAATCAAACAGAACAAGTGCAAAATGTGTTTCACGTTTTATATATTTTAAATGTTACATACCACCTTCTACCGACAGGCGATGTTTGTTTGCGTGTATGATTCTTACCGTTTGAGTGTCTTGCTCCGCTATAAAGCAGATTATTTAGTTCAAATTCAAGGTTTTGGCCAACAAATGTAACAGGTTAGTTTGAAAAAATCTTAACATCATCATCATTTCTTATTTACCCAGACTTAAAAAAAAAAAACCAACAACATTGAGACAACGATTAATTTATTCATTCATTTAAAAGAAACAAAACAAAACAAATTCATCAAAAAAAAATTTTTTTGAATGAAAAGGGTGCAGAAAGAAAAAAAAAATCATATAATAAGAAAAGATCACTTTCGTGAGCATGACTTGGATAAAGCAACACACACAGAATAAAAATTTAGAAATTTAATAACAAAACAATTAACAGTATTAGATAAAACATACAAAACAACTGACCACCAAAAACTGTTCAAGGTATAGCAGGGCATGGTGGTGCAGAGGTTAGCGAAGGTGGACCTGTGATCTAAAGGTCGTCGGTTCAACTCCCCAGACTGACAACATCAAAATGTGGGTGGAAAAGGTGAAACACCCACACCTGCCTCCACCCTCATTTGGCCCACTCTGGGCCCTTGAGCAAGACCCTTAACCCCCACCATCTGCTCCCTAAAACAGGTCTCTCTTGAAAATGAGTTCTCTTGACTCAGTGAGACTACCTGTATAAATAAAGTGTGACACAGTAATGGTTATAATGGTGACTTTAAACAGGCAACATTCAAAGTTCTTCCAGGACTGAACAAAAAGCTCTAAAGAATCCAGGTCTGACCTGTTCCCATCAGCCTGTCCACACCGAGGAGGCCGCAAAACAGAATGCTCTTCTCCCTAATTCAGTTCTGACCCGAAGATCTGATAGATGACCAACAATGTTAGAGCATAAGAAATGGTTGCTGTTTGTTTTTGTAGACAAGTGCACAAATGGGATGGAAGTCCAGTACCACAGTAGCCCAGTAGGGCTTCATATTTTAGAGTCATCCACTGTGTGTATCTGCAGAGAAACTTCACCTGGAAAATAAAACTGGTGCAAGTTGCAATGATATACCTGGTGCAGACCCGTCTGCAGAGCTCCTAATGAACAGGAGCCACTCTTAGCATCTCAAGCAGGACTGGAGCACCAGTGCTTCCAGTACAGCCTCAGTTTATTTAATGCTCTTCTATGACAATCTGTCCTTCAAAACATGCAGACAGTGCACTTTTGTGTCTGAGCACCTCTGTTCATTTGAACTTTCTGGTTTAAGAAACACAGTCTCACAACAAATTAAGATGTTTTTGCTTGTTTTATGGGATAAAAACTCAAATTCTGGATATGGCCACAGATGTCAGGACTTCTGCTCGCAGCATATGTGATCAGTTTTATGCCTTTCACCTCAGAGATGTAGAGTGAAGGGTGGGGGCTGATTCTCATCTCCTGTCCCTTCAGTCTTTTCAGTTCTGGCCCAGGATATGATTACTGGTCGCACAAGGCCTGCGGTTGATCTGTTGGGTGTAAACTGAGCAGAATACTGTTTAAACCGGAATTCGTGTGCAGCACTGTATCCTGATGTGGCAAACCGTGTGCGTGTGCGTGACTCTGAGGTGGATGCTGGGGGGTTTTGCAGGGTGTTGGAACTGGTTGGGCCATGTGGTAGAGCTGTCACCATCCCGCTCAGGCTTCAGTTTGATTATTACCTTCTTTTCCTAGATGAGACTGTGTTCTTTCTTCTATCGGCTTGAAATAATGAATTAAAAAGAAAAAAAAGTGCCGTCAAACTTGAAATCAGGTGAATGTGTTCTGGGCACAAGTTCTGGGCCTTGTGACGTGGTGATGATTGATTGCACTGAGAGCTCACCTGCACTAGTCTCCCTCTTAATCTTTTTTTCTCTAAAATACACATCCACTATCACACACACACACACACACACACACACACACACACACACACACACAC